ATTCTCAATTTTTAGACCTACAAGAATTTCCAATCATATGTTTTGTATAAATTCCACCTATTCTCAGATTTTTTCTATACATTATGTCTCCTCCAGAAAATGTATAGATGTATTAATTTCGTGCAAACATGAGCACGGGTGATTCCCACCTGCTATTTTAATAATTATTAATCTTTCTATCATGTACTTATCACTTGTAAAAACAAAAAAATAGTATGTGGTATGTTATCAGAGATTTATGACTGCCCCCCTGATTATTATTCCTGTGGTCGCCCTTGCGTGCAAATGAACGAAAATGCGTTACTACAACGAACGCACGTTGCTAACAGCTAATTTCAGAAATTACTTTACTGATTTAAGCTATTCAATAGATTCTTCGAAACTAGCAAAGTAATTTTAGCTTTTTTTAAATCTCTATTTACTGCTATTAGAAATGGCAAATATACAATATTAAAAATGTTTACATAGTCTTATACAAATTATTGATAATATTTTATTAATTGTACATTATTTCTTCATTTAAGTGCTTAAGTAATGTTGAATACTCTCGTATATTGATATACGGCAAGATATTAAATAGGTAAAAATAAATTTATAAACTTATAAATATAGCAATAGTCATTTAACTGAAAACCTTGATCGACATATCTTTATTTCTTTTAATTTTAAGTACAGGAAATTACCTTTTTTAGGTTTAGTCCTATTATTTTTTACAAAAAAAAACCCTATTTTATGCTGAAGTTGTTCTCTATAATAAGCATTCATCTACGTTTGATATTTTACCATACTATAATACATTAACACTCAAGTAATTAATAATAGACAATATAGTTAAGGAAAATAGAAATGGTTATTATATTGTTGTTTCATTGTGATGGTTAGTCGAATTCCATAATATATTATATATTCATATTTAAATTTTAATGATTTTAACTATCTTAATAAATTAATTTGTTGTACATATTCTTATTTAAATAGATGTTGGGGTGTATATATCACGGGTAGAAGAAGGAAGTATAGCCGAGAGTGTTGGTCTTAAGCCTGGAGATTCTATCTTAGAAGTAAATGGCAGACCATTTTCAACTATATCACACGAAGAAGCATTAAAAGTACGACGACTCCGGACTACCGACAAATGTTTTCCTTAATTCTTTTTTTATTTTATTTAGATTTTTAAGTCATATCGTCAAATTACAATGACAGTAAAATGTCCATCACCACCTCAATCAATGCCTACCATGCACAAAAAGGACGACGATGAGAACACTAATCAAGACGATGCCTGGAGATTGTCCAGAACGTATTCGTGGATTAATCGTAAGGGTCAACCAGTCTCACCTCCTTTAGAATATGCCAAACCCATTTCTCCTTATTCAAAATGGTCCTATACTCGATCTTCTAAAGATAAAATAAGAAAAGTAAGCATATAAAAATAATTATATGAGTTTATAATTGATTTATAACTTAATTTTTATAACGAAAACGTTTTAAGGTTGAATTGGTGATTGAACCTGGACAAAGTCTTGGTTTGATGATTAGGGGCGGAACTGAATATAATTTAGGTATTTTTATCACTGGTATTGATAAAGACTCTGTTGCAGATCGATCTGGTCTTATGGTAATAAATAAATTGCTTTCAAACAAAAGTATATTATTCTAATTTACTTTGAAATATTTTTTTAGATTGGTGATCAAATTTTAGAAGTAAATGGTCAATCATTTTTGAATTTGTCACACGATGAAGCAGTAAATCAATTAAAATTTCAAAAGCAAATGACACTTACTGTTAGAGACGTAGGTAAAGTTCCTCATTCTTGCACAACATACAATCCAGAAACAAATTGGAACCATTCTATGGACAAGTAAGATCATTTTTGTAACGTTAAATATGTTTTTAATTAAATATTCACATAATTTATAAACTTCTTAGGTAATTTGTGTAGTTTTAAATTTTTTTAATGTATTTTAGGAAAAAACTTTTATCATACTTCTTCATATAAAAGCTTCAATTAATAGTAAATAGATGGCTATTATAATGTTTAACTAGACATATTGAATTAGTTGAAAAAAATTCGTAATACTTGTTAGTTACCACATTTTAACAATAGATATTTCTAACTTTAATTTTAGTTTGTAATGAGTTTATAGTAGGTCTAAAATATCTTAAATATTATAGAAATTATAATATGTTGACATTATATAATTTTTAACGATTCATATATATATATATTATACATACATATATGCATAATTTAAATTATATTTAAACATAACTATTAACTATGGTAAGTATCGTATTATTTCAGAAAAATAATTTGGCTGTTGAAGTGTTGAATAATCTAAAATATTAAATTTATAACATACATAAATCTTAATTTTTTTAAATTATTACCTAGTAATTACAGATTTCTCGATGTTAAATGATAAAAAAAACTATACATTTCTGTTAGGAAATCAAATTCAGCTATCAGCCTATTAATCAATTTGCATAAATAATATAATTAAATAAAAGTATCTCCATTTAAATTTTTACATTTGTTTAAGAATACTTTTATTAAATTGTATTGCACCAAATGAAAAATATTAAAATAAATGACAACTCAAAATAATAATAAACAAATGACCGATACTACCTAGTTTAATCTGATTTAAACAAAAAAATGAACAACTAAGTAAAATAAGTAAAAACTAAAAAGTTATTAATGCTATGTACCTATTTTAGTATTATACCTATATGCTTAGGAAAACAAGGTTCATTTCTCAATCTCAAATGATAATATCACTATAATAATGTTGAGATTTAACGAACTGGTTTTAATGTAAATTTGATATAGGTTTATTAAGACATACTACATGTGCTATAATATAATATTATAGTATATAGGTATCTACTATTACTGTAGATAACCATTACATTATAATGTATGAAATGTACCTACCATTCCAATTTAATATATAGGTACATATTATTTGTAATTTATAAGTGTTTAGGTCTTTTATTATATTTAAGTATAGGTACCTACCTATCAAATATCCATACATATTTTTTTGCGCAATAATAAATAAAGTATTAAAGTATAATAATATATTACAATATATATATATATATATATATAATACAAATATATTATATATTATAATACCTATAATATTATTGTATGAAATTTACGAATAAAAACAATAAACAAAAATAGCTTAAGACGTTTAAAAAAAACACATTTAAATATTTTATATTGATATATCTTTTAAATACTTATCATACATAATTTAGGTATCAAAAAAAAAATGATTATTTTAAAAATTAGCGATCGGAAAATGTAAGGTTTTTTCAATTTTATTTTTAAAAAATATCATTCTTTATCTACATGCTACATTAATAACAATAAAAATGAATCCGAACGTATTAATCCTAACTTAAAAATATTAATTTTAGTGCAGACGGTGCTTTGAAGTTAGGGACATCTGCTGCATCTCAAATGGTAGAGGAAAAAGCTCGAATTTTGCTGACGAAAAATGAATTTAATACTTTGCGGTATTATTTGGACGAGTATTCATGTTCTAGAATGTCTATTGACGCATTTATAACTATACTTTTTGAATTGCTCAATACAACTGATAAGGTGAACAAAAATCAACGATTGCCTTACTATAAAAAGCACACTTCTATAATGAAAAAAATTTTAAGAAGCCCGGTGCTTTATTTTCAAATTGTCCGCGATTCTCTTAAGTTTGAAAATGATATCTAGATACTACATTAATTATAATACTTATCCACTGATCTGCCGTTACTTATTTAGGGAGAGGGTAACGGTGTAGGTATATTATATAAAAGAAAAATGACTTCACAGGAAAAATTCTCAGCTCTTGTAGAATTATCGGATTTTGATAACAATTTTTTTATTTGAAAGAAGATTTTCTGTACAGGTCACATTGAACTCCGACTTTTTTATTTTATCTTAAATAATGGTATAAAATAATTAGTAAAATAATCATAGAATTGTCTTGTTTTAAAAGACATATTATTAAGTTTAAGATTAAAATATTAAAAAACGGAGTTTAATGTGGCCTATAGTATACATTATCTTATATTAGTTTAAAAAAAATTATCAAATTTGGTTTATTCTACAGGACAAGATCATTATTCCCGTAGAGTGTATTTTTGTAGATAATACGACATTGGCACCGGGCGTCTTAAAAATAGGATAAAATTAAAAATCAAAATGGAACAATTTAAACACATACCAATATGACGTATTCATTATTTTGAATTTCAACCATATTTGTACAGTTATTTGTGTTTTAATTGGTCCCTACTACACGAATTGTCTCGCATTAAAGTGGTTATTATTGCATTAATAACGGTCTGGTTTTTTAGTTTACGCTGTTGACGGAATTGCGCGAACTAATAGGTCCCTCGGATCGAGACCGTTTTGATCAATTGGTATATAGAAGAGGACGGGAATCCAGAAAAACACACTCCCGAGTAAGAATGTCATTAAAATTTAAATAATCTCAACTTAAAGGGAAAAAATGCCTATTCTATTGCACTTATATATTTCAGAAACTTGATGGTTTTAATTCAAATATACCTGGAGGCCAAAGTAAAGGATTTGATTTTCCTAATGAAAATTCTGGGATGGATATTGGGACTACCGAGTATTCAAATTCAAATTATAGGACTAGGTATACTAATAGTTATTACGTGAAAAATTCATGTACTCTCTGTATAATTTGACGTTAGCGCCTCATTTTAAGATAATTATTAACCATTTAAAGGTATTTTATGAAATCAAACACGAGACAAATTGTTCTGTGGCTTCTGTTATTAACGGTTGAACCTATTCAACGTTATTACCTACTTATAAATAACACAGTTGTATTTATAATGTCTAAAATGTGGATTGAGAAGTATCATAATCAATATTTTGAATGATTAAATCAAGAATTTTAATAAATTAATAAAACAGTTGTCCTTAGATAGGAAATAATACAATTATATAGGTACCTCACATCCTATGCAACAATAGATTAATAACAACCAAAACGCATTAAAACATATTTACATATCGTTTTGATTTAGTTCATTTTTAAAGATCATACATAGTCTAATTTCACTTATGTATATTTAATGTATTTGTATAATTACCACATTCATGGTCATCCAATAATACAGTAGTAGTTTTAAATCGAAAACATYTTTTTTTAGATTACAATTTTTTTACTTTCATTTATCTAAAACAGTCATGGCATTTACTTTTTTTAAATATTTTTAATAACAAACCATTTCAGTTATTGATTTACAAGATTGAACTCGTGTTAGATTTATTATACCTATCATATAATTATTTTAATATTTAATAAGTAATAACTATTAAATTACAGTTTTAGAAAATTTTTTAAATAGGTATACCTAGGTTTAATAATTTATTAACTAAAAAAGATTTGTAGAATCATTGGTTATGCTTATGTTATGCAAAATACATTTTACCCATCATTCTATGTATATTTTATTTACAAATAAAAACAWTCATTCATTTTCATGTCTTTTAGTAGCTTTTGTGTCTACGATAAATTGTTATATTGTAATCAATACAAAAACTTGTAGGTATTAGAATATCAATATTTACTTTTGTTAAAATATTATAACTTTACTGTTGTTTCATTTTTAGTAATGATAGAAAATCTGAAGGAAAACATTCTCCAATGAAAACTGATGAACAATSTCATAGAGATATGGAAGTGGAAGAATTTGAATTTAGCCATCAAGTAAGTTACAAAAAAATGTTGAATMACTACTGTTATAGAATCCTTTGATCCTTATAATTCTTTATTTAGGATTATGGTGACTTGGAAACTGAGCTTTTACCAAGAAAATATCATAACGATTTGATTGATGTTGGTTATACGCATCGAAATTCAGGCATTTATGATGAATCTAATATGACTAGGTCATCGGTAAAGTACAAAATTATAAAATTAATAATTTATTAACTTTAGAAATTCAATCATCTCAAATTATGTACCACTAAATTCTATTAATGCCATAGTCTGAACATTTTTTAAGAATCTAATAGTCACGCAAAAAAGTTTTTTATACCTATTAACTTCAGTCAAGAATAAAAACTTTAGATTTGGTGCCCTACTGCAATATAAGTTATTTTTTGAACAGAACCTTCAATAGATAGATATTGTTTATTATGTTTGGTTATACATACTAAACTATGTGTTAGTCATCTTTCTAAAATCTTTTTAATTTATGTATCTTTTAATTTAATATAGGAATCTCGTATGTGCTATCTATCAAATTTTATATATTAATTATTAATGAAGTGCATTTTACTTTAAAACTTTTAAATTAACACAATTTAAAATTAAAAAAACAACATAATATATACAATATTATATATTATAGGTACCTGGTACATATTATAAGGTCACAGAAATATATATTATATATAGTGTAGAAATAATTTAACTTTTATGTTTCATACAAATATATAATGATACTTATTATCTGTTTGATTTGGTTAAAATATACCTATGTTGTATTAATCTTGAAAATATTGTAGTTTTAATACAACAGTTTCTTAGAAAATAATTAATGCAACAAATTTATAATAAAGGTGTCTAATTAGTTTTATAGAATTATATTTATATATTAGGTACCTATATATCTTATTGTAACATTGTTATATTGATGATATTCTCTTTATTTTCTTTATCTTAACTGCTAATAATAATACATTAGGTATAATAATATAGTTGGGTTTGTTGTAAAAATGAACCACATCGTAAAAAATTAACACTATTATGTAATTAAGTGATTAAGTTTTTCTTTTTTTAACTATAAACCATTAATAATTATTTATGATTATTGTCATAACATTTTTTAGTATGCATGGGAATAATAATTTAATACAAAATTATCCATAATTTTTATTTTTTATTATTTATCAAGCATAAATTAGTTGTTTTACTTAGAAAATTCTATAATAAAAGAACCATATCTCATTTAGAAATTAAATTTTTATTATCTTTTATTATATTATATATTAATATAATTATTAGTTATAAGTTCATTACCTATCTACTTATCAGATTACTTATAAAAAATTGACTTCTATAAATATTATAACTTTTCATTTTAAATTAACAATAAATCATTTTATTAATAATTACCATAGTATTTAGACATAGTTTTTCATTTTMTATTTAATCAATAAACCTAAAGGAAATAGTATTTTTTAATTGTAGATAGTTGAAAATTCACCTATTATGTTTGCTATTTTTTCATCATTTAGGTATCGACTCATTTAGTATGCAACTTTCATCAAAAATGTCTTTTAGTATGTTACCTACATTCTATTGATACATTATAAAACAATAAGGACAACAGTGTAGATACGTATAGTAAAAAAGGTAAAATTAAAATGAATAACATTATTGTATAGTCTGATAGGTAGTCGATTTATAATATTCARTTAGCATGTTTTGTATAATGCTAAAGCATTATGTGATTGTAAGAATGATTTATTTTAGAAAGATATTTATTTATATTTTCATAGTAATGATGGAAAAAATATTTTTTAGATGAAAGAAAGTTATTAGGTACCAATAAACAATTCATGTGGCTCAATAAAAAAAATGTAGTGTGTGCACCACTGTGTAATGTAGATTTAGATATGCCTAAAACTATCACAAAAAATAGAATGGAAATTTCATTGAAATAACTTATCTGAAATTTAAGAAGAGAAAAAAAGTTCAATATTTAACAATTTTGTTTCTGAAATATAGTTAAATTAGAAAGAATAAATAATTTCATATGTATTATGTTCAAAGAGGCAAGGCCTGTAGTGGACTCAGTTTATGTGAGATAACAAAACAAGTTTCGTGTTAGTCTTGTTTAACTCCAGATGTAGGTGACACAAAAATTGATACTTGATAGTTCTCCTAATAAAGTAATAACTGTATTGTTGTAGTTTGTTGGTTAAACTCTGTCATGATATTTGTGTGTTTTCATGTTTGATAAGCAAAAAAAAAATATAGGTAGTTGTGGATTGTTGAGGATTGGTTTTGAAAATTGATTAATTCCAATGATAGGCAAAAAGATAATACAATAAACAATTTAATTATTGGAAATATAGAATACTAACACATTAAACCATTTTTTCGTTTGGATTTAATCTCAGATGCCGATTCTGAATTCGAAAATAATAATAATGGTAATCCTGAGTCTAGGCTGTAATACTGGTGAGGTCACAGAGTGAATGATTCATTCAAAACAATGAAAAAAGTTTAATRGTTTAGCTGGTTTAGATTTCGAGTATATAATGGTGATCTTATGGAACTAAAATAAGCAAAAATATGGAACTAGAATTAAAGGCGCGGGTACATGTTGTTTTTAAAAATAAATGAAGGAAGAGTAGTGGTGATCAGTAAATGCACATAATGTGTTAGAGTCATTTTAATATGACGTCAAAAGTTAACCCATAATCTTTAATTTTCAAGTTAAGAATTATTATTATGAAGGAATAGTGGATTATTGTAAAACGATAAGGTAAGAAATTATTATTATTGATTTTATAAACATAAAAAAAAATTCAATTTTGAGTAGGTAGCATACTAAATAAGTAGATTCTGTAATTCATTTTGCATGTACCTAATTAATTCAAAACAACTACCTAAATAAATATTACAACCAAGGAAATCAAATTTAAATCTTAGTTTATTGAATCAATTATCAAAATAAATATATACAATTAATATTTAATAGGCATGATTGTTAAGCCATGAAAATATTACTTTATTGCTTATATAATACATAGAGTATAGTTACAATGTAAAAAAAGCCATAAATTATGTGAAATAATTTTCTTGTAACTGTTAGATGTATAATGTAAAAATGATAGAAAAATAATACGAGTATTTTAAAATTCAAATTTACCATAGCACATTATAACCATAATCAACTATTCATGAATAGACGCATAATTGGTATTTAATAAGAATAATTCACTTTTAATGATGATTTATCTATTTGTTATGAAAAAAAAATGTTTGCATTGTAAAACATGCGTATGATATATCTGATATAATGTGCCGTAACCTACTTAGTTATAACCCAATTATTACAAAAGTAGTTCTACTAAAAAATCCCAAAAATTATGAATATAAAAATAATATCAGCAGCACAGTAAACTCGGAACTTTGCCATACTTTATATCTTATAATTTTTATAAGCATAATGTAAACTTTAATATTATGATGTACATGCACTTAAAAATCCGCCAATATATTATTATTCGAATGTTATTTAAAAACAATTGATTAACAACATATTTTTTGAAATTAGGTGACAGGTACCTAATAAAAAATATATTTTTATTTAATATGTTTTGTTGTAAGATGTATATGTATTTTGTTATACTATATATTTTATAGGCAATAAAATAATAAATATATCAATAATATTTAGTCATTTTGATATTTACCTAGGTACACCTTATTTTTTGATTTTGATTTTGTTAATTTTTAGTCTTCATTTTTATCTTGTTATAGTGCATATTGCATATAATATTGAGTATATAATATTGTAGGTAGATAGTTAGTTTACTAATAAAAAAAAAAAATAGATTAGCTTTAATTAGGTAAATACTATACAGTATATTGAGTGGAAGTGCACTTGTCAGTACCTAAAGTATCCCTATACTATCCTATCTACATTAATAACTTACACAAAGTACATATTATCGTTATTTTCATCAATTGTATTCACTTTTTATCACCTAAAAATAATGAAATTTATTTATATTTAACATTCAGTTTTCTTTAAAAAAAATTAAATACTCATAGATGTATAATATTATATATAGGTATTCATACCTTATCTGTTAAAATACAACATTTGTTGTTTTTACACATTCACTGATTAAATTGGTCTTGAGTAGCATATTAATTTTTATTTATTACAGTTCAATTTGATTAAAAAATATATTTGTTTTAAATTAGTACACAAGTTCGACAAAGAATAAAATATTCAAAAAAAAAAAACGATGAAATATGCAAATTAATTACATACAGTTGTATTGCTACTTAATAATTATAGGTACTTTTTAAATTTTACGCGAATAACATTGCTGATGCTTTCAGAGTGGATACTTGGAGGGACTGCGATCCCACTTAGGGGGATGGACCCAAAAATTGAAATCCTGGTACTATGGAAGTTCTCTAGTAAGTTTCAGTTGATGTTTCAGTTCCATTTAGTTTTTGTATGTGAACCAAGTAGTTAGATATGTTTTCTTTAGTTTTGGAACACCATCTTCTATTTTCATCTTTAACTAGAATTTTACCTTATATTATCTTGTTTACTGCTCTGTGTTTATATGTTTTATTTAGTTGATCTATAATTCATTTTAGAGCTTCTAAAGAACTGTAGTTTCAATTTATATTCCTTATCTATCTATACCTAACAAACTAATCATATACCAAACCTTCAAATTCAAAATTTGGCATGTCTTATAATTCCTTTAGTGTTTCAGCTACTTAAGACCATATTCCAAAATAACATAGGTAAATAATTTTTGTAAATACCCTGTAAGTSCACTTCAAAGTTAAAATACTTAAATGGCTTTTATTCATTTAATCACTTTATCACGAATATATATATTTTTCTTAATCATCGGTATATTTATTATGTACTTAATAAAATATGGCTTTTCTAAGCTTCATATTAATATGATTTTTATTTTAATAAGCAGGGTCCGTGAAGTAAGTATCATTTTGTTATAAAATAGGTCAAAGACCAAAATATTAACTTTTTTTATTGCAGCCCTAATAAATAGAAGCTCAAATCAAATCCTACATTTTTGGCTCAAAGGTTAAAAGTTACAAATAATTTCAAATATTTTATGAATAAAAACATATTATTATAATTTAAAATGTATATAATCRTAATATTGTGTAGTAGGTAGTAGGTAAAAAAGTAATAATATTAGTATAATATTTTGAGGTTATTTATTTAGTTTTTGAAATCTCAGATTAATTGTGATATTCCTTTTGCTTAGTAAACCTTCAAAATTAACAAATAGGTATGACAGTGTTTATATTAAGCATGAGTAGTTGTTGCTATAATTATATGTTTTACACAAATACAATCTAGCTTAATTCATAGATTCATTATTTATAATTCACATTATTTATGCATTAATTTACACATCACATTTCTAGTTATGTCATCTGAAATTAAAAATAAGTTTAACCATTAAAATACCTATTTAATCTATTTAAATTATTTCATTGTATGTAGTTTTAATAACATTCACGTCAATTTTGACATAATAATTATGTTAACCTATGTATAACATGATGGCTAATAGTTACTAAAATTTTATGGAAAACAAATATTGCGTTATTATACACAAATATCCTGGTAAAAGAAAAGGAATGAGTCTTCGATTTCTATATGGATAATATTATAATACCATTGATTGATTGTAAATAGATACTATGATAATATGATAATAATATGTTGAAACATTTTTATTACTTCATGTTACAATTATTATAGATAATGTGTGTAATTAAACATGGGTATCTTTTAACCACCGTTTAAGATAGATTTTTCTCTCTTAAACTGTGCTTTTAACTCAAATCAACTAAAATAATATTGTATATTTATTCTTGTTTCTTCAATTAATTATGAAATTTTCAAATATTAAGTAGTTACATAAATATCCTTGGAAATTTTTTTAAATTGGAGTGTAACCAAAAAAAATAAAAAACACTAAATTGACAATTTGTAACTAAAACATAAAAGAAAAGTTTAACACTGCCAAATTGTTTTAATAATATTAGTTTTTTGAGATATGAGGATACAACATTTCTGCTATAACTGCAATTAAAAATAGAAGTCTATGGTGGTGGACTAGCTATAGTGTAATTTTTATTTTTTTTTTTTTGTTTTAATAATTAGGCAAACAAAAAGTGATTTATAATTGATTTATGTGTGATTGTTTTGGGTTATTATAAGATTGACAAGGCTAGGCAASGATATTTTAATAAATTATAATTATTAATGAAACAAAAAAAAATGTTTAAAGCAATTATCAAACAAACACGGACGTTCATACGATGGTAAAAATGAACTGCTGGATGAGGACGGAAGTTATCGAAGAGAAAGTGGTTTTATAGAGTCATCATGTTCAAATAATATACAAAACGAATCACAGGTAATTTTGAATATACCTATTACCTACATTTAAATTGCTATAATTCATTAATCACTAGATATATTAAATTTATACTATTTAAAACTTAAATAATATACAATCATATATGTAGGTATTTTATAATAATGTCATTAAGAATTAAGATAGAATCGATATAGGTAGGTATTTTTTACATGAAATATAATTCACACTCAATTAATTAGATATCTCGAACGGAATTTAACCCCCTTGGCCCCTTCAATTTCAAGTTATTGAGACTCGACTGTATATATTATTATTAATAATGTTACACCTAATTTTTTAAATTTAAATATTTTAACTTTCTATAAAATGTAGATAATTTAGTATTAATTCATTGCTGAAAAAATTATTTAATATTTATCGAAGAAGTAATAATAGCATAGGTAATATAAAATATTATTGTAATAAATACAATGAAAGAATATTCATAA